GGATAGTTATGTGAAATGTATTGAGTTGCTTTACAAGCTACTACGGTCATTAGCAACAACTATCATTTGAAACCGAATGATAAAATATTTTATAAACAGTGTTATAAAATTAATTAATTAATTATAAAGTCTCCGTATAAATCCGTGCGTTTGAAACAAGAAAATATCAAGCCGTGACTGATTCATTATTAATATAACTTTTCATTACTAAAACATTACTCTATTGCTATCCAACATATTAAAAATTGTTATTACAAATAGAGTGTGTGTATGAAAATCGATTCCTTTCACATTCGAAACTTTAACGTCAATCCTAAACGGGTAGACAACCGAGTCGACAGTTTGGAGCACACTGCTGCCAGAAAAGGAGCTATCAGGAGATGGGTCTCTAAAGGACACAAACAAGTTGACGTGTTGACAAGTGCTGTTGATGGGAAGGAAGAATGAACACACCTCATTCCATGGAGGTTTTATAGCCTCTGACCTAAATGAAACTGGCATCTGTTTACTAAGCCATGATCTCATCCTACAATGAACGCGTAAGTTCATGAAGTCAGGGACTATCAAAAGAAATATTTCGGTAGAATATAAATTTATCTAAATTGTACATTCTCACAATTATGACTATAATACGCACGAGGGCAATAGATATATGACGACTATTTCAAAAAGTAAAAACCATAGTGCTACATTAAGGCACAGCCTATTTCTAACTAGTTAGTTTTCTAGCCAGCTTTTTGGTTTTATCTCTCCGTCTTACCAGCAGCAACTAATCGGCGCCCAAACGTGTTTTTTCACATTTTCTCGATTTTTCGGGTCTCTAATAGTATATTTGATATGTCTTTAAGAAGTGTTAATCATTGTCCTAGCACATTTTCATTGAGAAATTAGTAGCTGTTGTTCAGAAATTGTCGGTTGAGCGTTTCTGAAAAGGCCCAAGTTTGAGTTCATTTTCACTGACAAATTTAGAATTTTCGAGAAACGTCATAAATAATCATTTCAAGCAATTATGTTAACAAATGCAATAATGTATAGAAAATGTCCGTAAAAAATGTAAATAAAAATAATATAACAAGTAAACAATCACATTGGTGTATTTTTTTAAAAATCTGCAAAATACATCAAAATGGCGTTTACGGCATATTATTCGGTGCACGTGGTACTATCCGTTCAAAACGTTTCAAAGAAAAAATTGGAGCCGTTTTTGAAAAGAAACATTTTTGAAAGCCTTTCTTTTACACAAAATTACTCGAAAAATATTCATTTTTTGACAAAATGTGTTGTTTAAATATCTAATTTTCAAGAATATGTGGAAGAAAAATCTCCAACTTTTATTCTGTAGTTGTAGGAAGACTCCCAAAAAAGTTTGAACTTTTGCAATTTTAGGAAATTTAAATATTTCAACGAAATTGGGACCTGCTCGAGTTCTTTATGCTATCTAAGGACAAAGTTTAATAAAAAAATTGGAGCTAATTTTGAGAAAAATTACATTTGTCCTTGAGTTTTCCATTAAAGTATCCCCAAAAATTAAAACACGGGTTTCTAATTTGAGGAGCCGCGACATCAGCTATATATATATATATATATATATATATATATATATATATATATATATATATAAACAAACATTATCATTATCCACCTTTTCGTTTTCAGTGATCTAAAAAATTAATTTCATATATCACATATGTAGTATGCGAAAAAGTAATATAACAGTGAGCTATGTTACAAACACTTCAGTCACAATAAAAGTCTCCAAGTAAATGCTGAATATCACATCACAAATTTCATCTAAAGTCAGGAATTTTTTCAGTGAATTTTCAGAATCCGACTTATTAGCCCAAATTTGGAGCAAAAATTATTAATTGATTATTCTGAAATCCCCTGACGTATTTCATTACAAAGATTTAAACATTCATGGGATTTACGTTCATTTATGCCAACATATTTAAGCACTTTCTCAATTGATTGCAACCTAATTATATATTAATTTGGACAAAACTTCCCCTAATATATTGAATTTATATAGAAATTTTAATAAACCTCTTTGTATACTCCCTCCATTATTACTTCACAATTAAACGGCCACTGCGACCCAAGAGAAAGCAAATCTACTGGAGAACTATTTTGAAAATAATTTAAAGCCAAATACAATCTCATATCTGTCCTTTAAAAAGAAAGTATCTAATTTTCTAAATAAACCATTATATTCTGCACCCTTACCAAAGCTGTATTTCCCCTTACAGAGAAACGGAATTAATTAAAAACTACGTTATTTCATCGGTAATAAAACGTTCGAAAATTATTTAGAACTTATCATTTCACAAACACAGAACCAATAATGTTTGCACGCAAACTTCATTAACAATTTTTTTGCTTGCAAAAATGTGTTTATTATAACAACATATTAAAACATGAAAGAAAAACCTGTTTTTAGAATAATCTCTTCGATGGTAGATATCTTATTATAATCGGTTATGAGACGCTGTCATTAGGTTGTCATGGACACTTCTTAGAAAAATAAATTTGCGTTTTAAAATCTCTTCGGGTTTGAAATATTTTAGAGATAGTTTCTCTTAGCTTCTAAAATGTAATCAATTGAGGCTGAGGTGCAATGTGGACTGTACATACAAGACCAAAAATCCTGCTAAGCAGAAAATGGTAGAAAAAGTCGGAAGGTGTTAATTGTCTGAAGAAAAAAAACTTTTGCCTTTGGCGTCAATATTCGACTTTTCTCATTCTGCTAATTGCAAGGTTTAGGAGTTCCTCACATTTCAAGAGCATCCGCAACACACAATGAAACAGGACTGCGGAGACGGACAAAAAGAAAGCAAGTGTTGGATGATTCGTCGCGAACATAGCTTCAAAGCTATGTAAAGATGCACATTCTCTCTTGAGAGACTCTGAGAAATCGAATATTTCTCGAGTTATTCTTAGTACTTTACGGCATCCATTACCATCCCTTTCCAAACCTTGCGCAACCTCCTGCGCTAGAATAGAAGCGCCGGCGCCGATCTACACGTTGGCATAGGAGGGCGCGAGATTCTAGTTATCTCAGGCAGCGGGGCACCGCCTCAGCTCCCGACATGTTTAGTGTAATACATGTAAATGTGTGAGTACAAGGGATGAAAAGCGATTAGCATTGCTTTCTGCCAAGGGCAATGCAGACTTTAACAAAACATTTCCTTTCAGTTTTCTCTTCCAATCCCGATTCTCTTCGCCAGCCATGCACGAATTTTGTTCCTTACGTCATATGTTTGTTTCTTTCGAATCCTTCCCAACCATCTGTTGTCAAGGATATCTGGCTCAAGAAATTGTATTTTTTAAATCGTTTCCTTTCAATAGCCAAGCCCTCCATCACGATGGACGTGATGAAGTTTGTCAGTGACAAACTGTCCGCAGTTAGCTTGAAAGGGCTGTCCTCTTTGATTCGATCGATCGGCCTCGAGGCAATTAGTCGGTGGGCTTACGGCATCGTCCACACAAAGCCCCACGTGGCAACCCCTTCCCCTTCCTCTCAGCGGCGGGGGCGGCGAGAGCGAGAATGCGGCGGGGGCGGCTGTGGATTCAGCGACGAGTGGCTGCGTTGCCGGCGGTGGTAGGGTGAAGGGAGGGGGATTTGGCTAAGTGAATGGGGTGGACGAGTGGAGTGGGGTGCTGCTGATAAAGTTGTGTGAGGGTTTCGAATGACACCTCTTTTGCAATTGATACAAGTTCGATGGTAAATTAAAAACGAATTTAACCAGTGCAATTATAGAAATACTTTTCCCTCACGATACCAATAAATTTATCAGAATTATTTTATGATTTATAATATATCCAACTACTGTGTGCCAGCACAATTCAGTGTTACGAAAATAAATTTACACTGTAATAGGGCATAGTAATATATCCAACATTAGGTGGAACGGAACATTGATGGTCGAGATGCGAAGCTCTGTCACCATTAAATAGTGCAGACCATTTCGAAATTTGTGCAATTTTAATAAATGAATTTGTAGTATAGTTTTCTGCATTAAGTGCAATCTTCAAGTTTGCAGAATTAATCATATTTTTATTTGTTCCCGGAGTTTTGATCATATGCATTATAATTTTAGTTCTGTAGAAAAATAGCTTGGAAAAAAGTGCATATTAAAGTAATTTTCTGTACCCAATATTACCTCAATTTCATCACGGTAAAAAGAATATTTCGTGTATAACAAATTGCTGAGGAAAAGTGTTAAACCGAACTTAGACTAATCTTAAGGTGGTATGTTCATGCCAATCGCTAGTCAAAAACTCGGCCATCATATTCATCATATACAGATTAACAATATTTCTAATGCGTTACTATGAACACATTAGAAAGTGTTAAGTTGCAACTGTTGCTGAACACATCACATCTGGTTTAAAAATTAAGGATGATTGGTTCAAAATACGAGTATATCGAACGAAAGAAACTTAACACCAAATTTTTTAATAGTTGACTGTTCAAATTCTGGCACAATTTAGAGAAATTTTGTTTCTTAAAGAACAAGTTTCAGCCGAACACGGTAAGAAAATTATTGTGAACAGTTTGTTCATCGTAAAACCTCCAGCCTTGAGAGGGAAGGAAATGTGAGATATTGAAGGTCGTAGTCGATCAGTCGTAAATATAGGTGTATATTTAGAAAGCAACCTCGCAGGGCGGCCCATTAACGCGAAGCCAGGCAGATGCTTGCGCGCGACGGAAATGAAAGTGTTGGTGAACGCGGAACGGCGCTGCCCGGGGGGCGGGGGGGGGGGAGCGCCAAGGGCCGACGGCGCCGGAGACGGAAGTGCCGCGAGAGGGCGCGGCGACGCGGACACGCCCCCGCCCGCGTTAAGTGCCGCCCGCTCTGCCAAGGACCTCTCCAGAGATATGGGGAGAAGTAGTAACCCTCAGCGCTATTTCTCTAATTTAGGGAAAGAATGTCTTCATTTAACTCACACGGAGCAGCAATCGTTTGGTTTGTCTACATTTTACATAGAAATGTAGAAATGTTCCATAGAAATGTATCTTGAGGAATAAAAAAAAAAAAATAATAAAAAAAAATAAAAAAATAAATAAAAAAAATTACATCCTCCGTGAATTAGTTAATTTTTGCTTTAAAAATGCAAGGCGTGAAATTAGTGATTTAGTATCTCAAATACCACGCAACGTTGCCCACATTTATTCAAGTGAATTTTTAATGCGATAATTCTATCATTCCAGAAGTGAAAGTCGAACAATAAATTAATCATGTTCATTGGCAGGATAAATAGTCCCTTAGTAATACAGTTTTGTTTATTACAAAATTAGATTAGTAGGGTCCAGAGATTCGGCCTGGAGGGTCAGCGCTTGAGGCAGGGAGCAAAAGTAGCCCTTCATCCAGAACCACAGTACGAGCACTGAGACAGGCTCAAAGAGCAAATGAATAAGTACAAGATCGAGATAATCCTATGCGATTCGCAGACCGGAAAGGCGATCTTCGCTGAAAATGTCCTCAGACGAGCGGTTGGTACCTCGAGAGTACCTGGTAGGTCTTACAGGCGCCAATAGATGGTAGCTGGAAAGAGGGTGAGGCATAAGCGAAAAGGTGACACGGATATAAGAGAACAGTCTGCGCCATTTTGTAGCACCACTAGATTTTTATCGACGTGCGTCGTGTCACAAATCACAAAATCTGTTCCTTAATTGTATTACAGTTAACGTTTGTAAAATAGGATCACGTCATAGAAACTTTACAAAGAAAGAACGCAAAAACAGCGTGTTTGTTAGTCTTTGGTGCCATCACGATAATTCATTGGTGCAACAAAGATCTTTCATCTTCTGACTTTCATAATTGTTCTTTGATTGGATATTCCCTAATGTTAGAAATGTTTGCTGAATTTGCTTCCTTAGATGATAGTCTAAAATATTATCTAAGTTTACTTTTTCTTTCCTGAAATGTATATTCTAAAAAAAAACAACATAATGTTTCTGTCAACATTTAAAAGAGATGTCGCTATTACATCTGAAAGTCCTAGAAACATCAAACGTAATATCAACGGAACAGCTAGGTAAAATCATTGAAGTATTTTAATTTGCATTTTTATAATCAAACGTTTTCCTGAATGGCATTTGCCCTTTGGGGGGCACAAGACATAAATCTTTCTGAAATTCTTCTTTGACGTTTTAGATGAGCACATATAAATGTTATGTTTCTTCGGAAGTAGTGTGCATTTCACAATACTTTCATTTGTGCTATGAATAAAATCACACGTCAGCCTGTTTACGAACTAACTTCAAAGATTGTATATTCAACTTTGAGTGTCATGCGATGCACTAAGTGAGAAACAAAGACTTTATTTCTGTTCCAAAATAAAACTCCATGAACTACATATCATAGATGAAAGTGTGTCAGAAAAGATGCCTCTTATTCCGTATTCAACTCACGAAGTTAAATTTATATTCAAAATTGTCTACTCATTGTAAGAATCAAAACCTGTATTTTGGTATCCATTTTTCAAATGTTTCTTCATGATCAAAATATTTTTTTTGCTAATGTGTATTTGAAAAAAGTAATTTGAAAGAAATAATATATTTTGAAATAGAAACTACTTAATTGATACTCAATTTGCTTTTCACTAGACGCCATGATCCAATGCCGAACACTACGTCATTTTGACTGTCTTATTTGCTAAAAATAATGTTAAAAAAGTAATACTAGTTCAAGCTACTTTAAAACACTTATAAAGCTTGCGAATTTAATTGATTTTCTGTAGCCCTAAATTGTCTCAATCAAATTGTATGTTGGATTTAATTAAGCAAATCATTTTTATAGTGTTTTTGGGGCTGAAATTTCCTGTATTAGAGCAATTTCTCATTTTTGATGCTTGTCAATTCCGTAACAACTGTATTATAACATAATCAAATGTGCCAGTTTTCAACTTCAGAAAGTTTATATTAAATTCTAAAAATTGAAAACGCACGTCTGAAAAAATGTTATCTTCGTGGAAAATTAACGTTGCGTTGTCAAGAGTTTTTGCACAAGTATCTTTCCATTTAAATTTGGTATTTCTGTAGTTTGATGAAAATTAGTTATTTTTACTTATTTTTTATATTTTACGTATTTATTATAAAACCTACTATGAGGTAGAAGAGCACGTGTTGCAGATTTCTGATATTCCCAGACAACTTTGTGGCAAAGTGACGTTGGAGTACCCGATATGAAGAAAAATTATTTTCCTCACTGTCGATTGTTTACAATTTACTGTAAACTTATACAAGTTCATAATTGGTATAATTTACGATTTTCCATTGAGTTTCATATGTCCAGTATGATAAAAATGGGAATTTTTTACATAAAATATTACGTTTTAGTCCACATTGCAGGCATCTCTGATGGAATACAAACATGTACAGATTGGAATTCAGCACAACAAAATTTGGATTAATCCGAGGTACAATCTCGTACCGCAAAATCATCGCCATCATTCAATCGCCGCTCTCAAACGGAATGGCTTTTGGCCCTTTTACATTGGATTATATTACTGGCGAATTTATTGCTTCATAGTACAATTACATATTTTTTATCATTAGCAGCTTCTCTCTTCATGTATTTTTTAAATGATGATTCAATTGAAACTTATTCTGTAAACTAATGAAATGCGTCTTCAGTGTTTAAGCAGATACAAATAAATCGAGTAAATGAAAGCCATGGACTGCGTATTTCGTCGTAATAACATCCGTTCAATTCAATTCAAGCGCTTTTCGTTGTTTATTTTGTATTTCACCCATCCGGTATTTTAAACATTAGAATTCCATTTGGTAGTATCTCGAAACCTGAAATATGTAGAAATGCTGAAATATGTAGTCGAAAACATATTTCCATAAACTGGATATTTACTTCCACACATTTTTCTTTGACCCGCCTTGACGATGGATTCTTGGTTCTCGCTTTGACTTCGTTGAAATTGGCCAGATACCAATATTCGTGTAGTTGGTGGGTGTTTGCGGGCAGCCATTCGGTAGGGGCACTCAGCGGAGTTAAAACACACATCAGGCTTAAGAATTCCCAAGCGAGAGGAGACACGTGTGCGAGGGCCGCGGAGGATTTCTCAGCAATGCCCTCCCCCTCCCCTCCCCCTTCCCCTTCCCAAGCGGGATCCTGTCGGAACGTAAACCGCGAACTTCCTGTTTGTTTCTTCGCCGTCGTCGCCCTGGCCCTCCCG